CCGAGGAGCTGGTGTGTACGTCTCTGTTGCCTGATTGTCAGCAAAGAAAGTAGACAGAAAGAAAGGTTTCTGAGGTTAGTCTCTGCGTTTGCTAGGATCATGGGGATGTTGTGCAGTACATACGTCTGCGAACAGTTTTTCTCGTCAGTGAAGATCAACCAATCAGTTTCACAGTCACGACTCACCGATGAACATTTACGAGCAACGTTGCTGGTTCACGTGATATCAGGCCTAATGTTGACGCTCTGGAGAACTTCAGAAATAACCTCACATTGCATTGAGTAACATTAGCCAACATGTTTCAATTATTGTTTTAATATTTGATGCATTTTGTATGTGTATGAATGTGGCCCGCCGATTAGCGCATTTTATCTAATGCGGCCCCATATTCATTTGAGTTTGAGACCCCTGAGTTAAATCATGTACCATCTCTAACAGTGTCTATGGCAGCACATCTTTAAGTCCTTTTTGTTGGCACGCCTTTTCTTTCAGACAGTGATTTTATGTTTAGCTACTAAAACTGTATTTTTCTGTTAAATGCTGGCGTTTCTCTGTGCTGAACAAGCTGTGCTGTCGAGTGAATGGCGGAACAGCAGAGCCTGGTCGATTTCACCAGCCCACATGTCTGTGTTGTCGAGTGGAGAGCTGAGAGGAAGCTCCATGGTCCCAGGGGAAATAAAATATTATTGACACATACAGCTGCACCCTTCTTGTCTCTTGAGTTGTCGAGACACCTTAGGAGTATGAGGACAGTTTGAAACGAAAAGCAGTCTTATCCAGTGGTGTCCTGAAAGAGGGCAGGAGATCAGTTTCAATGACATGCTGTAGCCAGGTAGGTTGTCCTACACTCCCACAGCCCCCAGCATGAAGAATAACAAGAATACGTAGCTGTAGTGTTATGGGTTCGGTAATAGGGACCGAACCAGTGAGTGAACCCACTTGCGGGAGCGAACAAAACCAAGTCGTAATCCGAAAGCAAACCGTAATCGTAGGAACGAGCCGAGAGTCCAGGGGAAGCCAGAAATCCAAAACAGAGCGAAAGTAACCGATCCAAGCCGAGATCCGAAAAGCCGAAGTCCAAAGGGAAAAATCG